AATTATGTGAACAGCAACGACTGAAACTTTTTCAAAAGTGATGGAAGGCACAGTGATACCTGAGTTCACAAACTGAATTTGTTTTTCGATTTGGGGAAGATGGCCATGTTTGCATTTGTCATCCAATGTGCAGTTTGTGAATAGAAGCAAAATGCTTTTGTTTGAGAACCAAATTGTTTGCAAACAGAAGCATTCATGAACCAAAGTATTACTGTATTAAATTACAGATCTGAGTCTCAGAGGACAGCAAGCAGAAAAACTCCAAGCACAGAGGCTCGCCTCCCTCCATGCATCTCATGTTTAAAGTGACTGAGAATTTTAAAAGAAAATGCCCTCTGAAGGCAGCCAGAAGGGAGAAAAGAGAGGCTTCTCATAGAAAAAGAAAAACAAAAGTGGGCAGCACAGTGTACTCTGGTCAAAAGCGGTGTGATCTAGAAAACAGTGGAACTGTCTTTAAAGTATAAAAGGAAAACCTTTGTCACAGAGTCTGACACCCAGGGAGATAGCTTTGAAACCTAAAGCCAAAACAAGGATTTTTTTCCCAGACAAATAAAAGTTAAACTAATATTGTTAGCAGATCTACAAAATTAAAAATATGTAATGGAAATCTGTATGTAAATTGCACAAAGAAGTGAAAAGTCCCAGAATTAGTCAAAGTAAATTTGAAAGACATTTTGTTCATACTAGTTGTAATAATTTTAAAATATAATTGAATCTTCAAAGGTGGAAAGAAACCATTAAAAAGGAACAAACATTACAAACATGTACCGGTATAAAATAAAAATTGAAAGGAAAAGTAAATAAAAATTTTAAAAGTTAACAAAGATACAAAAGCAAATGTGTGTGTGACAGTACAGGACAGCTGGAAGCAAAGTGTTTTAGGGTCTTGCATGAAGGGATATAACACAACCTAAACATAGGCTACAATATGTTAAAGATGTGTATGGTAAGGTTAGGTCCAACGCTAACAATACTTTAAGAGACAAATAACAAGTTGATAGAGGAGGTAAGATAGAAACATAAAAATAATCCAAAGAAGACAGAGGAGGAAAAAATAGAACACAGAACTTTGTTCATAAAAGCAAAGGTTGTGAAACACAGACTGGATATTGATAACATTTTTTTTAAACAAAGCAAGACTCAACTACGAAATTCCATGTTAAACTAGAAATCAATCATAGAAAAAGCAATATGAAGAAAACCTCCAAGTAGTTGTAAATTTATATGATATGCATCCCAATAACCCCATGTGCAAAAAGTCATAAAGAAAATCTTAAAACATTTTAATTGAATGAAAATGAAAATAAGTGTTAAAATTTCTAGAACACAGTTAAAGCAGTGCTTAGATTAAAATCTATAACATTAAATGTTTGCATTAAAATACAAATGTTTAAAATTACAATATAAAAAATGGAAAATATCAAGATACTACTTAAAAACAGGCAAATTTATAAGAGATGAAAAGAAAACTGTTATAAAGGAGGAAGAAAAGTATACTTACCAATTTAGAATTCCATACCCAGCTGAAGTATCACTTACCAGTGACAAGAAAGGCTGAGTTTAACATTGGTTCAAGTCCATTTAAGGAGAACTTCGTAAAAGATACAAGAGGAAAAGAGATTTGTGAGAAGCAAGGGTGAACCAAAAAACAATAGATGAGGAACAAATCTGAAGAAGGATTCCCTGAACAAAGCAACAAAAGCAAGGCCATCTGCCCCTAGGTGCAGTCAAGCAGCACAGAGGGGCTTGTCTCCCTGATCCCAGTCAGGCACTCTTGCTGCTGGCTGGTCTTGAGACAAGGTGCATGTGGTGACACAGAGTCGGGGAGGGAGATGCCCCTTGCATCACCACTACATTCAATGCAGTCAGCCTCCTGGGTCTGTGGGCTGTGCATCTGAGGATCCAACCAACCATGGGCTGAAAATATTCCAGAAAGAGTTATATCTGTACTGAAATAGATGGTCTTTTCTTTTTGTCATTATTCCCTAACCAGTGCAGTCTCACAAGTACTTACATAGCATGTACATTATATTAGTATAAGGTACTAAGGAAGATTTAACATTCATGGAAGGGTGGGTATAGGTTATGTGCAAACACAACAACACTTTACTTAAGGCTCTTGAGCACCTCTGGGTGTGGATGTTGGGAGTCCTGATGGTTTCTATGCTGACATTTAGGGCCAAGGCCTTTGTGGCTGTTCCAAAGCAAGGCTTTCTACTTCCTCACCAGGCACAGGACTCCTCTCCTGTTCCTGCCCCAGTGTTTGAACTTTATGATGCAGATAGAATGACAAATGCCAGAGCTGGTGGGGGGAACCAGGTGGTCTAGATGGTCTAGAACAGGCTCTTCCTCAGATAAGAATGAAATGACAGAGAGGTCCACAGGGCCAATGTGCAGCAAGAGACATCATGACATTGTGTTGGGGACTTTTTACTGTAAATGAAAACAAGCCATATGTGAACCCCGCTTCTCCTCCTGTAGGAAAAGCAAGGAAGCAGAGCCTGCTCATGGTCCAGTGTCTCCCCCTGGGGCCCGTGCCCAGTGACCATCTTGTTTCTCTCACTATTTCCTATAGCTCAGGGCACACCTTAACTGTTCAGAAAAATATAAGTGGAAGTGTTCAGGCAGCACTAATTTAGCTCAGCAGTGCAGAGTCAAAGGAAAATACCAGATGGAGCTGCGAGGACCCTGGCATCCTGAGGCTAGAAAAAGTATATAGGGTGCAAGAGCCCCTTGTAAAGTGGCCTCCTGAGGGAATCATGTGCCCTGTCTGATGTCCCAGCCCTTGCACAGGGTGGAGACTTGCTGAAAGGCAAAATGAATGGGAAGAATCCCACTGAGGGAGCACAGAACTCACAGCATAGGCAGAGATGCTTCTCTGAGAACATGAAGGAAAAAGCCCTAGGTTTGCCGCCAAAGTGCCACAGCATCCCAGCGCCATCAGAAGCTCTGATGTCTCTGTAGGACAGCTGTACAGCACCACAGGGGCTGGGCTCTGACCCCATGGTGCCCAGGGCCTCACCTGCTATAGGCATACAATCGTCAGGAACAGGCCAGAGAAACCTAGCAACAGGAAGAGACGTGAGAGCAGGGGCAGGAGTTGAAAGTAACAACCAGGAAAACCTTTCTCCATGTTCACTAAAGGCAAATAGTACAGATACAAAGGAACAGAAAAGCTCAGACAAGGAAACAGCTGGTTGGAGCTTGTCTTCTCCCTGAGAGAGCAGTGTAGGGGAGGGTGGCTCCCAAACTATTTTAAAATTTAGATTGTGACTTTAGTTTTCTTCTGATTAGTATTCATGACTTTGTCTTCCTCCATTGTTTTACTTCCCATTTAGTTGTGTCTTTATATTTAAAGTAGGTTTCTTATAGGCAGCTCATAGTTGGATCTTGTTTTTTTATCTATCTGATATCTTATGCTTCTTGAACAGATGGTATATAGTTTCATGAAATTTCTTATTACATTTGCCTTCTAATTTTACTCTCTGTGGTACTTCTGGATAAATGTGATTTTTTCATCTCATGATCAGTGCTATTCTATTGTTTATTTGCATGCTTGTTAATTGTTTTTTGAAGACCTATCATTGTGAATTTTGTTGTGTTGTGTGTTGCATTTTATTTTTAAAAATAATATTGAGCTTCAATCTTTTTTGCCCAATTAAGATACTGTGAGGCAGTTTGATCTTTTGGGGACTTACTCATAAGCTTTTGATTCATGAAACCAAGCAGCATTTTACTACTACTCTGACTGAGATTATACAATTCTGAACGTCCCACGTGTTAGGACTTTCCATGCTTACTGGAAGGGGGAGTATCTATTCTGGCCGGGTTGAGCTCTGGAAGTCATCCTGCCTGTCCTTTGAGGTGCTATTTTCTTGTCCTTGAGTTGCCTGACAGACACTTGCTGACCTGTGCTCCACGGTGGACTCAGACACTGTTCTGCAGATGTCTGCCTCTCTTCCTGTCCTGTGGTGAGGACTCAGAGTGTGTGTGCGTGCATGTCTTCTGGTTTATCTCTACAGGACTCAGTCATGTGAGCTGCACCCTGATAACCTTCTCTAATTTTTAAACTTATTTTTGAGACAAACTATGTTAGTTAGCTTTCCTGTGGCTGGAACACAGTACCTGAGATGCACAATGTAAGGGAGGACAGTTTTAATTTGGCTTGCAGTTCATGGGCTTCTATTCATGGTTGGCTGCTCCAAGGCCAAAACATCACGGTGGAAGTGCATAGTGGAAGCAAAGCTGTTCAGTTCATGTAGGCCAGAAAGTAGAGCAAAGGAAAACAGCACCAGTGAGGAAGGGGTGAGGGACCAGATATGGCACCCATGGTCACCCCACTGTGACCCACCCAGACATGCCAGATGGCTCCCAGACTGATCAAGTTGATGCAATGCTTAGCCACCACAAAAGAGTAGACAAAAGATAAGGATGTGCACACCCTGCTAGTGCAGTGGACACATGCCACAACAGAAGGATGGCCCAGGACACCTCAGAGTGTGTCCTGACCCAGAAGCCCCAGTCTGCACCTGCTCAGCCACAGCAGGTACACATACAGCACAGTTGTGCAGAGGAGGTGGGAAGGAAGGGACAGATATGTCCTCTGGAGAAGGGACATGACTGGGAGACAACTGTCCAGGCTCAGGGAAGCAGTTCAGGCACCAAGATGATTAGACCCATGGAACAGCCTGGCTCACCATGGTTGTGCTGCTGCTACAACACTTAGTGACCAAACAGTTTTCAGCCAGCTTTGCCAACAGCATAGAGAGGACAGCAGTGTGAGGGTGTTTGACTGCCACAGCTGGTCAGCTCTGGGCTCCCAGAAGACAAGAGTGTCTTTGCTGACCTCACCTGATAGACTCCTGGGTTGACACAGCTGGGTCGTTATCATATGCCCCTCCATGGCTGTGGTTTTCTCAGGGTCAGTAGTTTCCACAGTTAAAAGGAAAAGGAATCATGCCTTAACTATCAAATCTTGATAATTATATTTTTCCCCACAGAAAATAATTCAAAAAATGATAAATATGAAAAACCCTCCATTCTGGGCAAAATCCTTCAAAATATTGGAAGATTTCCAGGTAACTTGGAAGACAACTTACCGTTGGTTTGGGGGTTCATTCTGGGCAAAAGAGGAGACACGTACCCCTCAGCTCAGCACAGTTGGTGCTATGCACAGCTCGGGGAGGGCAGGGCACTCAGCCCCTGTGCTAATCAACGTTTCATCACCACACAAAATGCCTAGGAAGGTCGGTCTAGAGGAGGAAAGGTTTATTACGGCTCACAGTTTTGGAGGTTTTGGTCCATGGTGTGCTAGTTCTGTTGCTTTCTGCTGTGAGGCAGACACATCATGATGAAAGGGCCAGCATGCCCTTCTTGGGGGATGGATGGGAATGATACTTGGGTGCACACAAAGCCTGGCACACATGGCGCTCCAGATATCCACCACCTGAGCTTACAGGGAAGGAGACAAGAACAGTTGTGATCCCTCTTCACACCAACACCCATGGGCTCTTTGTCTTGGGAACAGCATTTCAGCTACAGGATGGCAGAGGCTAATTCCTTCTCTTTTCTTAGGGACAGTTGAGGTTCATGTGCTTGCTTATTTGCAATGACTCACTGAGCTATGAGGGACTCAGAACTTCAGATGACCAGCAGGGGCTTCAGTGTGGCAACAGGACTTCCTCCAGTGTGAGGGCAATGTCACCAGCTGACCCCTAAGGCCTGTGACTGTCCCAGGAGAAGTAGCCACCTGGCCACTGTGTGTCTTTGAGGGTAAGTGGGAAGTGGCCAGACTTACAGTGGAAAATGCCATGTGCATACCCGCCTGCCCACCCCCCAAGACCACAGTGCTCAGGCTCGTCTCAGGCCTCTCCTGGGATGTTGGGCCAGAGATGTACCCACTGGGGACAAGTGAGGCCATTCTCATGGAAATCTCTGTCTCTAAACAGAAACAGCATCCAGTACCAGAGAAGACTGAGCCCAGCAGAGCAGCAGGGGCAGCCGGTGCTTCCAGGCAAGGCAGCAAGAACAACAAGGACTCACCCCCATCCTTAGGACAACACACACACTGTTAACCATTCCATAAAATAAATTTACTTGATCCATGTGATCCCAAACTGAGTTACTTTAAGTGCTAAAGTAGAGGACGTATATGTTTTGTGGGATTTTTGTCTTGTTTGTAAAACCATACAGATTACCATCCCGCTCTCCCTCACCCTGACTGATGGGACCCCAGATGGCAGCAATCTTCAAAACCTGGAAGCTGAATAAATTTCAATGTTGAGCTCATCATTCTGTCCTCTCCCTCAGTGATGCACAAATGCCAGCAAAGCCAGGTGCTTGCTCTCAATGTCACTGGGAGTTGGTTAAGTTCAGGCACCCCTGAGCACTGTACTCTCAGAGGCTTAAGAGTTGGAAAGCAAATTTATGAGCAAAATCATACATGTTAGCTTAGTCAGCAGGCAGCAGGTGACAAGGGGCCGAGAGGTGGCACGTGTTGAGTGGAAGTGGCATTCTGCTGTCCCTGGCATCAGCTAGTGGCACTCCCACAGATGGGAGAGTCCCAGAGGTGCAGAGGTGGGTGGTGTGAGTGGGCACTGTCATCCTGGACAAGAACTGGTGCCAGAGTGATCTCACTATGTATCACAGACTGGGGGAAATAGAAATACTCACCTGTTCTGTATGACTTTACAGTTTTGAAACTTATGGAGGCTGGCTTTATGACCAAACACGGCCAATCTTGGCAAATATCTGCCCAGAACTTGGAGGAAGGTGGGCTCTGCAGTTGTTGTATGCAGCATTCTATAGACTCAATGAAGAGTCCTGGGATTGAAGCTGTTTTCTTACCAATTGCTCTTCTGCCCACTGGTCACCAACAGAGCTGTGATAAAGCCCCTGCTATCTTTGTGAGGGATTTATTTCTTAGCTCTATGTATTTTGCTTTATATTTTTCTAAGCTAGGTTATTAGGTTCATAAAGACAACATACTAATCTCCTGCCTGGTTTGGTTTAAGTGTTTATCGTCATTGTGGAGGGGGTGCAAAGACCTTACTCCAGGGCCTATACATTCATACATTCTCTCTCTCTCTCTCTCTCTCTCTCTCTCTCTCTCCGTCACACACACACACACACACACACACACACACACCATTAAGAGTACCAGAAAGGTCCATAAAAATAGAAAAATGAGTTTATTAATGAATTGCCCACTTTCAGAGGACAGCTAGCCTACTCCCCTCCAGCACACAAAAGTTCTGCAACTTACAAAGGGATAGAACAAAAGCCAGAAATAAGTGCATGTAAATTTCCCCAGGCTTTGGTCCACCAGAAGCCCACAACATGCTGAGTCCTCCTTGGCCCCAGGGCTAAGGGTGACAGTTTCCAGTTTCAGCAAGAGGAGACTGGAGGAACAGCATATCATTTTTGAAAACCTAATGTTTACAGATCCCTTTTAACTTCTCCGTCACATTGCTATGAAATATTCCCCTTGCTCTGTAGTATTTCTTTTTCCCCTAGATCTACTTTATCTGATATCACCATGGCCACATTAACTTTCTTTTGGCTAACATGTGCATAGTACATCTTTTCCAATTTATTACTTTTCTATAACATAATATTTAATGTATATATCTTTTTAAAAGATAGACAACATACATGACAGCTTTTTCTAAATTCAGTAGTTTTTGTCATTTAATTGAAATATTCAATTCATCCAGATTACATGTAACTTAAGGTACAGCTAAGTTTTTATCTACTATGTACTATTTGTACTTGTATTATATGGATAAATTTTCACTTCTTTCACCTTACTTGTATTGAGCAGGTATTTTTCATTCCTTTTCTCATTAGACCGTTGAATATATATTCTTTTAATATTATTTTGAATAGTATGTTAGAAACTACAATATGCACATCCTTGACATACCATAATCTAAAATGAGTACGTTTATCACTTTCTGAATCATATAAGGACATAAAACTTCATTCTACTTAACCATTTTTGCATTATTTTTATTACAAATTTTAATTCTATGTAGAGAGTCTGCCAAAAAAATGTATCAGGAAAATAAAAACTTGTATGAATATCTTCATACTAAATTTATTGAGACATCATGAGATTAATACAAGTTACCTTTGGCCTGTACAATTACAAGAGGTACTCACAAGTGATAACCATTAGCTTCCAGACATTTATTATTATGGTGAGCTGCTGAAGTGTATATACATGTTTTGGCAGACTCTATTTTAAATATCACCAAATGTTATAATTATTCTTATGCAGTTAGTATTCATTTAGATTTATCTACTGGTCTTCCATTCAGCTAGTTTTTAATACCATGGAGTGGCATATATTCTGAGCAACTGAGTGTTTTAGTGTGAATCTACCAGGAAAATTCTCAAGTATTTATCTGACTGAAAATATATTTGTTTTACATTCATTTTTGAGAGTGGTTTCATAAGATCATCAGTTATGTAACTGGCACCACAGAATGGAACTTTAATAGTTAGATTTTTTTTTCTTTCAAGACAAGTGGTTTATCCACATTTCCCAAGATCTAGGGCATAAATGGCCACCTCTTCCTCTTCTCACCCAGATGAATGGACAGAATATGTAGATCCTGACACTGGGAGGTCAAAGCTCCATTTCGTTTCCAGAGAGAAAGGAGGAGAGGTCTGGGTCCAGGAAGGGATGAAACAAACCTAACTAACCTAACGAACAAGTCTACTATCTCATTGTATTTCCTCCCTCACTGTTCCCTGTATAAGAGACCCTGACACACTTGTGTACAGGAGATGGTGATTTGGGTGCTAACACTCCTCCCTCTCTTCAGAGATAGCTTTAAATAAATTCTTTTTACCAAAATGAATGACTTCCTTTGCTGTGACCAGCAGTGAGCAAATGAACCTGAGTGTAGGGACCTAAGTGGTTGGTAATAGTTTTGGCAAGCCAGCCACGAGGGGCTGACGTTGGTTTGAGGATTCTCCCGGTGGTCCATGGATCCTTCTAGATCTCCTAAGCTGTGCCATTTTAAATGCCCATAACTATTAAAACTCCTCTTGTACTCTTTCTTTCTTTTCTTTCTCTTTGGTTTGTTTTTGGTGTTCTGAGACAGGGTCTTGCTATATAGTTTAGGCTGGCCTTGAACTCACTGTCTAGTTCAGGCTGACCTCAAACTCATGGTGATCCTCCTGCCTCAGCCTCTTAAGTACTGGCATTATAGGTATGCACCTATAATGCTCAGCTCCTTTTATAATCTTTCAAGTGGATTCACATATGGACATGCACATTATAAATAACAGTTCCCTTTTGGAAACATGAGAATTTTATTAGAAACTAATTTATTGGGTTGGTGCAAATATTCAAGTTCAAAAGCCCCAGTAAACACTCCAAAGATATTTAAGTAGAATTTTGTTGTAGTGCGTGTAGATGCTATTTTGGGTCTTGACTACAACTTTTTTTAAAGGCAAAAAAGGCAAAAATACAATAAAAACAACACAGAATTTCAAAACAGGATGATAGGAAATTAACAATGGTTATTACATTGCATATTGTTATCTTCAAACTGGTTGCTCAGATTACCTGGTACAGGCATGCAAAGTTGATCAAACAGTATAAGCACTAATGGTTCCTTTCAATGAACTAATAGAAATTAGTACTACAATTATCTTAGCTATCTTGTATGTGTACATATATATTTTTTTAACTTTCTCTTCTTTTCTCTTTTCCCTCATCCCAGTTGTTCTTTCCTTTTGAGCAGTTTCCTTCCCTTTCACAATATCTATTGTACCTTTTGGATCTTACTTACTCTTTCAGTTTCTTACACTAGGGAGACAATACGATGTTTACACAGGAGTCTGACTTATTTTACTTGTGAGTATGGTCTCTAGTTGCATCCATTTACCTATAAAAGCCTCGAGTTTGAGAGGTGTTTTTCTTTATCAGATACTGGTTTGGGACATTGACTTGTTCTTGTCAGATGTTTTGTGTTTTGTGGGCAATGTCAAGGTAACTTAAAAAATTAGATGGATATTAACTAAAGCATCTAAGTTATTTACAAATAATTTAAAATACTAAAAACATTTGTTAAGTATAAATCCATGTATTCTTTCCTTCTTAACATTTATAAATGATGATAGATTTGGGTCAATTAAATGTATTTCAGATTGCATATTGTATGTATATATATATATATAATACTGTGACATAAGATCAAAAGATATCTGATCCTTTATCAAGTTTGATAGTAACTATCCTAGAGAGATAATAAGTATCTGTAAATGGAGACTTCCATTAAACCATACATCAGCAAGGTAAAGGTGAGCTTTTAAACAATAAGTCTTAGTGTGATTGAGGGCTGTATTCATTCACCATTGTAAGGTATCATGAAATTAGTAATTTGTATAAGCACAACTGATTTAATATTCTTTAACTGTTGGTTAAAGAAAAGATAAGGAGTTAATAGCTATGGCTTACCTGGTCTATTAATGTGTCTTCAAAAAGCCCAATGCTTACAGTTTGAAGAGATGCTAAAAAGGCTTGCTTGCTTCTCTGTTATGGATAAGCTATTGTTATGTTACTGGTTATCTTTGCTTAAGTTAAGTACTTTAAAATATGGCTTTTAAAAAGCACTTTGTTTTTACAGAAAAGCCTTGTAAATTTCAAAAACAAAGATGTGGGACTTTTGCCACCCTTTGTACATAATGTGTTCTTGTCTACATATACAGTGCTTAATCTCCGTAAGGCACTTAACAGTGTGGGATAAAAATATAACGATTTTCATAACTACTGATAATCTATGTGTGGGGTGGCATGATTTTGTAATCTAAATGCTATGTTTTTGTTGTAAATTGATCGTGTCTCAACTATATCTTCTTAGTAAAACATTTCTAATTAGAAACAGTTTTTTTAAAAAAATGTTTAAGAATTTAAAATATAATGCATAGGGATGTGAGAATTTTTATGTTTAAAACAATAAGGCTTAAGATATTGATCTGTTCTTACTAAATTTACAATGAAACTTGAAAAGCCATTTTACTTTCGTCAAAATAGTTTCTTGTATTCTCTACTATCTTTTGTTAGGTTTTAAATTTTAGAAAAATGAGCCTTGGGAAGTTA